TTGAATTGAATATTCACCAAACTTTTTTGTAACTGGTAACTTATACGAAAACAAAGGCCAACTACAGGCGAAAATATAAAAAAAATAATATTTTCTATTAATTCCATGAACCACAGTCCTTTTTCAGAAATTGATAGTCACTGATCTGGTTAAGAAATTCCATATCTGTTATTGGACTAGAAGATTCATTATTGTATTTGCAAGAACCCGCGGATGGATCTTAAAATCCTCACATCATATTTATCTAAGATGACTTTTAACCACGTTTAAAGCATCGATGTGGAACATCTAGGAAGGAACTCTCTTTTAACAATGCCCGTGTTATATGATCTGATTAATGTCATAATTATCTGGACCTCCCACCGAGATTTCGTCTTGCCTGCCCCGTTCACTGCCCATTGTTGGAAAAATGCTTCCGCGAGGAACTATTTTCTTCGTTATTTTAGGAAAGATAACGTTTAATTTAGCTGCAATATTTAAAATTGGAACATTTCACGAGCTAGTAGCTATATCAGGTAGCAATGTTGCCGGTAACCACTTATTCCCTTGAGATATTTGAATATTCTTCCTGCCATAACTAGCAAACTTACGAAAAAACAAACAAAAGCAGATCGCCTTCTCTTTTCACTAAATTTTTAGATATTTTTCACGGTCTAGCGTGAGCGAGGTGTTGAGACCTTACGGTCTGTCCATGTCTACCTATCTCGTTTTTTTTTCTCGAATTAATGAGACTGGAAGGCCAATTGTCGCTTTACAATGGGATAAAGAGAATCCATTATTGCGAAACGGTATGACCGCAGGACCACAGGAACATTGTATTACAACAATGACTTGAGATAGCATTAATGCAAGAATAACTTAAGACGCAAAAATAACATTACTTCAACTTCAGTGGCATGAAGAACAACATTAGATTGTCAGTGAGGAACGTTATCACCTCTATAGCCCATAAGACCATAATTCAATTCAATTCAATTCAATTCAATTAATTTATTTACGTGTTTGCCAACAGCAAGAAGCCAATAACAGGCAAACACTGATAATATATACAATAATAGTGAAATAAAAATTAAAAATATTACACAAACGGATTAACTAAACTTATAAATAATATGGGCTTTCATAACCTCAAAATCTTAAAAATTTCGCATACGAAACAACGTTATTTGTTTCGAATCCGATGATTCAGTAAGTACGAGGCGCGTCCTCAAAGTAAGTTTCCCACTCGTCCCACAGCTAGCAAACCTTATATTGAGCGAAGCGACTGTGCGTACGTGATAGAGCAATGACGTAGCATGGCGCATGCACTAACGGGTCTCCTGCAGGAGTTCAGCTGGGAGGTGTTTAATCATCGACCCTACAGCCCGGACCTCGCTCCCAGTCATTTCCATCTTTTCCTACACCTCAAGAAATTCCTGTCCGGTCAGCGTCAGCGTTTTGAGAATGACAGAGAGGCGGAGATGGTTGTCACACAGTGGTTCCAATCCCAGGCGGCCGACTTCTACGACACAGGTATTCAAAAGTTGGTCCCACGGTATGACAAATGTCTCAATTCCGGTGGCGAATATGTTGAAAAATAGCTGGACACTTGCTGTATCTGTTGCAATAAATATTTCCATGAAATTGTGTTTTGTTTCTGTAAACGGCCCCAGGGAAACTTACTTTGTGGACGAACCTCGTAGAATGAAAAGTTAGAATTTAGTCTATGACGCGAACAGTGATTGTTCCATTTAGTGTAAAATTATCGTAATTAATTTTGGGTGTGATTCATCTTTGAACTTGGTAGCTGATAAAGTGTAATAAGCTCGTTTATGCGTTCATTTGGTTATGCCTATAGTAAATTGTATATTTGCTTCCGTGATTGTACAATACGTATTGAATTTTAATAAAACTTGACAAACAGAACAATTAACAAATGACGAACGAGCGGGCGTGGTGCTGTCGCACGCAACGAGCCCAGTGTTTGTGTGTCATTGTCGATCCCAGTGCAGACTGTGTTCATGCAGCCCCGGGCAGCGTAATTCTGTGGCCCACAGTTTGACATGATCTAACTGAGCGATGAACCTTTGTTACGAGGAAACTGACTCAGTCGCATGCAAAACGGGCGTAACAGACAGAATAAGCTCATGAGTTATAGTCAAGAAATTCTACGTCTTTAATAGAATCCGAAAGTCTGTGATCGTTTCTAGTCCGTACTTTGGGCCGATCACTCATCTAAGGAGTCCTACCAACTGTCTAATAGATCAAAGCCAACGAATGTTGGGACCCGCAGATGCTCACCGCACTGAAGACAAATGACAAATGTTAATTCCAAAACTGTGTACGGGGTTCGACTACAGCCTAATTGATGTAATCATCCCCAATAACTTTTAGAGAAAAGTTTGGAATGTCCATTTTTCTGTTAAAGATATCTTTAAAATGCAGATATTCTCCTCATAACCCTGTTCGCAAACATCGGCAGTCATTGTCTTACCATTGGGAAGGGGAATGAGGTTTCACAGCCATGTTTAAGAGCTGGAAAAATATTATTTTTTACGCATATTTCAATTTTTATCTTTTTTATAGCAGACGGGATTATGAGCGACGTGAAATGAATATCAGCCCGCATTCAGCGCAGTGTCCGCTCCTAATTTCTTCGAAACAGTAATTTTGATTTGTTACTGTCGTTTATATTATAATTAGTTTATTCATATGAGTAATTATCTTGCCCGTTTATTGATTTTATTGATATTATTTGATGTTTCTCTAGACCTGCACGTGGTTTGTTTCGGAGTTTAGCTCTCCTGAGCCTTTGGGGGTCGCCCCCTAACACAAGGTTTCACAAGTCTGGTTACCCTCGCTGTTAACTAACTCCTTACCGGAGTATAATAGAACGTGTTTATGTTCTCATTTGAAAAATTAACATAAAACATAAATAATTGTCTTCCAATTCCTACTGACTTACTGGTCGTTCGTAATGTCTGTTTTAAGCAATTTGCTGCACTGGGGGCGAAAATGGAAATGTCTTGTTAAGACGTCGTACGAGTTCTATGCTGTTGTTCTGTTGAAGGCGTTTGTCTGTGGGATGTAAGAATATCTTTTGTACTATAATGTTATACGCCTTGATAATAAGATTGTCTAAGCAGACCGAAACCATACACCGAAAAGGTCTCATCGAACTGAAGGCCAAATTTTTGTAGATATGAGTTGAAGTTGTTATGTTGATTTTCTGACCCAATGCAGTGGCGGATTATAGTATTGATTATGTGGTTTTTTATTATTAGAAAACAAAACAAACCATGGAAAGAAAACTTATGTTAAATAACATGGAGGAAACAAGACGAATTGAAGATAACCACGAAAACATGTGAAGAATTGAAAATGTTGATTCTTCAGCAAATTATGATTCTGCTCATTTGAGTCTGAATCAAAATGCGTGCAGGAAAATATGAAACTGCTACTGCGTACTTCTGGACTACGCGTTGCGTGCTGTTAGCCATTATGTTGTTTCGAAGTACGCATTTCACTGTTTACATTAAGAGAGTCTATTTTTATTTTATTTGAATTGAATTTAACTTACATTTTTATGTAATAATTTATTCTATAGAACATAAGAATTCAGTCAATGTAAGCTACTCCCGCTTGATTATTATTATTTAGTGTTCTGTCTGAGGACAGGTCCATATGAACAGGATCCTTCCATCCTTTTATCGGACTGGGACCTGTTCATATACGTTCTTGGCAGATGATCCAGAAGTGGTTTGCCATTGCCTTCTTCTGTGTGTGAATGGAGTAATTGTTGGGATGCCACGTAGGAAAACTCCGTGTTGCCTAGACCACGGCCTTGCCCAACACAAGTTATAAATTCGGGCACCGCCAGGAATCGAACCCGAGACCCTAGGATTGCAAGGCCAGCGTTCTAACCGCTAGACCACCGTAGCTATATTCTCGCTTGTTATGAACTAATATTTACTGCTTACCAACAGGAACTTGTTAGGTGCGTACTCCTAATCGACATTTCCACATTCCAAAGTAAGGTTGGAAACGAACCGGTCTTTTTGTTAACGTTTCTAAGCTGCTCAAGTTTTTGTAAGCCACTCTTTTACACATATTCCTTCTCTAGCTGTCACTCTGACCAATTATTATTGTCTTTCCCACTCTTTGCCTGAGCCCTACTCTACGTTTCATCCTTCTTCTCAACTTCCCTGACAGACCATTTCTCTACCGTCAAGTCACTAAAGCGTTAACTCATGTATTGTAGATGAGTCTCCTCTACAATTACTGCACTGAGATGGGGCTCGTTTTACTGTACACACTGCCTGAAAGTGCTGCTTACAGCGTCATCAGGAGAAACCTCTAATTGCTGTACGATGTCATTTCCTTGGGTCTAATTAGTGGACGAAAGAACAGCCCCTTTGAGCGTTTCCACCACAGACGGCAATGGATCATAATGGTTAGCCATTGCTATTAGGAGGCACCTTACTGAAGTGTTGAAATTAGAACACACGCCGTGAACTCTAGGAAATAAAGTAGAGAAATAGTCACGCACTTTATATAGTCTACAGAATATTTTAAAAGAGATAGAGGAGAGAATGGTGGTATTTTAATTCGTACATACAGAATGCACACATGGAATGTACGAGGTGCGATCGGAAAGTTTCCAGTGGGCATTTGTAGGTGGTTTTGTTGTCCTTAATACTGGTAGTCATATTACGTCACAGAAATATACCGCAAAATCAGCGTAATCGGAGTCTGCTTACAGAGAAAATTTGATGAAGAAGGAATTTGTGAATTTTCAGTTGAGTGAAAACAACTGTGTTCTATAATTTTCTTAGGTTATTTAACGACGCTGCTTAAACTACGCATATTATCTTGAATGAAATAAGATAGGAAGAAGTTAATTACTACTGACATGCGCAATGTTGAAAAAGTAAGTCGTGGGACATTTCAGCATTACTTTCGTTGGACTGAGGACAACCACGATAAATTCCAGTAAGGCAAGCCGGGGCAGTCGAGTTAGTGTAGTGACTGACTACGGACTGGACGGCCGATGCCCGACAGGGTCAGAGGATTTTTTCTCTTGTAATCAACGTTAGATTTTTTAGAAGGGCCGGTGTTTTATTATCAACTATCAGCGACTATCAGCTTCTCAAAGGCTTCATTGGGTGAGTGTTGTTTATGCATGAAGACAGCGTTGACATATTAACTAACTGGAAGTGTGTTCAACATGGAGTCTTTTGTAAATGGGCACAAAGCTATTTTGTGACTGGATTCGGGTGCGTGATATGAGAATTTTACGGATGTAGGTATTTGACTATTTTCTCTCTTAGCTGAGACGTAATTTATTATCGTAGGTGATTAACCAATGTTTTTCGGAACCTTACTTCTCCATCGTCAGAGTTTACGTAGGAACATATCGCCACCGTCACTGGATTGACCTGGGTCAGAATTGTATCCAGTGGGACCTGTTGTGATGATTCTGGTGAACACAGCTGAAGAACATTTCATGATCGGCTAAAAAAACTTTTCATTTTACGTATTGGCAATAAATCAAAGAATTTCTTGTGAGTGACAGGACTTATATTAGATCTTGTGCTATTGAATTGATGAATAATTCGATTTATTTCAAATATATATATATATATATAAGATATGCGTAGCATATTATAACAAATTGTTTCTTTAATATTCATATTTTTCTGATATTCTGAAATGTACAAATGCCTAGAATTGAAAACTGGTCTATTTTGGACACCCCCCCTCTCTCTCTCTGTCCACAGCACTCAGCCTCTCAAATGCTCTTGACATGATCAACCCGCTGATTCAAGTTAACAAACCACTGAGCATACGAATCGTATACATCAACAAATTTAAACGCGATTATATTAGAAACATCAACAAACTATGTTACAACGCCAGGAACTCGCACTGCACACAGCGCATAATAACGAGTAGCCAAACCAGTTCGTTTCTGTTTCCAACAGCTAAAAACATCTCTGTTTGCAGAGCGCTACTCCAATTTCAAGCACATGATTTAAAAACTGGCCTCTGACAAACAAAGGAAGGCAACGAGCCATTTTGGTGTCAAAATGTTTTGAATTTGCAAGGATTGATGGTATTGCATGAGAGTCGTTTTAGAGGACAGACGAGAGCAAAAGTTTGAAGACTTGTTCCCTGAAAGCTAGGCTGGTCTGCGGTAGACATTTTTGAATGCAGAACGACATATTTCGCTTTACAGTAGGTAGAGCTGTCCGACAATAAACAATGAGGATGAGGGAAACGAGAAATTCACAAAATATTTTGGTATAAAAATGTAAAGGAAGAAATTGATCAGATGAAAGTAGTGTGTGGATAATATTAAATTATTTAAAGCACAGTAATAATTTTTGCTACAATCTGTTGGAAAATTCAGTTATCAATAACTATACATTTTATTTACTCACAGGGTTTATATGTGAGTTTTGTATAATTATGACAATAAACAGCATTTGCATTCCTAAACATAAATAACTAATTAATCTTCGTAATGGACACGCAGTGTGTTATTATCAGCAAAACTTAATATGTTAAAATTTAGGCGAGCTTCGTGCCCTAGAAGTTTAACGGGCTCAGGAGTTTGTTATGGCCTGAATAGAACAGGAACAAGTACATCTGTACTGGGACATTCTATATTGTTATAACAATTTTACTCAATGTTCAGTCACTTACGACAACAATTTACAGCACCTAAGACTTCGATAACCACTGAACTTAGTTGCTGTTGTAACCTTTGAAGAATATGTTTCAATTACTAATCATCTGCAGGTTCGTTTCTGCACTGAATGCGTACCCCAGACCACTTTTACCAGTAAACACACCGTTCGTTAATTTTGTATGTTACCACGAAGAAATTGAAAAAAAGTGGGGGTGGAATAGACTAAAAGAGCAAAAGACACGATTGAAACCTTGCTGTATTCATTTCAGTACTTTTAAATAGTTGAATTGTGTGATGTTTCTTTCATGCGTGCCCCGCTATTGTATCTTGGTCGAATCAGGCCCCCCCCCTCTCTCTCTCTGTCCACAGCACTCAGCCTCTCAAATGCTCTTGACATGATCAACCCGCTGATTCAAGTTAACAAACCACTGAGCATACGAATCGTATACATCAACAAATTTAAACGCGATTATATTAGAAACATCAACAAACTATGTTACAACGCCAGGAACTCGCACTGCACACAGCGCATAATAACGAGTAGCCAAACCAGTTCGTTTCTGTTTCCAACAGCTAAAAACATCTCTGTTTGCAGAGCGCTACTCCAATTTCAAGCACATGATTTAAAAACTGGCCTCTGACAAACAAAGGAAGGCAACGAGCCATTTTGGTGTCAAAATGTTTTGAATTTGCAAGGATTGATGGTATTGCATGAGAGTCGTTTTAGAGGACAGACGAGAGCAAAAGTTTGAAGACTTGTTCCCTGAAAGCTAGGCTGGTCTGCGGTAGACATTTTTGAATGCAGAACGACATATTTCGCTTTACAGTAGGTAGAGCTGTCCGACAATAAACAATGAGGATGAGGGAAACGAGAAATTCACAAAATATTTTGGTATAAAAATGTAAAGGAAGAAATTGATCAGATGAAAGTAGTGTGTGGATAATATTAAATTATTTAAAGCACAGTAATAATTTTTGCTACAATCTGTTGGAAAATTCAGTTATCAATAACTATACATTTTATTTACTCACAGGGTTTATATGTGAGTTTTGTATAATTATGACAATAAACAGCATTTGCATTCCTAAACATAAATAACTAATTAATCTTCGTAATGGACACGCAGTGTGTTATTATCAGCAAAACTTAATATGTTAAAATTTAGGCGAGCTTCGTGCCCTAGAAGTTTAACGGGCTCAGGAGTTTGTTATGGCCTGAATAGAACAGGAACAAGTACATCTGTACTGGGACATTCTATATTGTTATAACAATTTTACTCAATGTTCAGTCACTTACGACAACAATTTACAGCACCTAAGACTTCGATAACCACTGAACTTAGTTGCTGTTGTAACCTTTGAAGAATATGTTTCAATTACTAATCATCTGCAGGTTCGTTTCTGCACTGAATGCGTACCCCAGACCACTTTTACCAGTAAACACACCGTTCGTTAATTTTGTATGTTACCACGAAGAAATTGAAAAAAAGTGGGGGTGGAATAGACTAAAAGAGCAAAAGACACGATTGAAACCTTGCTGTATTCATTTCAGTACTTTTAAATAGTTGAATTGTGTGATGTTTCTTTCATGCGTGCCCCGCTATTGTATCTTGGTCGAATCAGGCCTTATACGATCGGAAAGTTTCTAGACTGTGTCAATAGAGAGCGAGCCGGATGTAGTACGAGCTTCTGCCGCTAGGGGGTGCGGCCTACATTCATAGTGAATCAGTGTGCCAGCCGGCATCATCGAATTAGCATTTGTTTCTTAGTTACGGGCGTTTTGGTAGTGCATTACACCGACCCTCCTGCGATTTCGGAATGGCGTGTGCATCAAATTTTGCCAAAGACTCGCCAAAACGGCTACGGAAACCTATGAAATCCTAAAGCAAGCATTTGGGGAGTCCGCAATGGGTCGTGCACAAACGTTTGTGTGGCATTCACGTTTTAAAAATGACCGAACCTCTGTCGATGATGAGTGAGTTACATGAAGGTGAACTTTAATGCAGTCTAATTATTCCACGTACTCAATATTAACGAGAATTACGATTATTACAATTTGTACTCTGAGGAATATTTGTTGTCCGATACGTAGCGAAATGAAATTCACCTACTATCCTCACTACACGCCTTGAAAGCGCTTCGGGGAGGAGAGATGGGATGGTTAGATGTTAGATCGCAGATGGTGCTTGACAGGCTGACAAAGAAAGATTTCCAGGGATGCTTCCAGGCTTGGCAGCGGCGCTGGGATCGTTGTGTTCACTCCCAGGGGAACTACTTCGAGGGTGATGGGTGAATTTAATACCTGAGATAAGTGTACGGGGTTTTATAGGCGCAGTCTAGAAACTTTCCGATCGCACCTCGTATACGATGTCACCGTCGTAGCTAGTGACTACAGTACTGAAAATGACGTCATCAACTATCTCAGAGGATCGTGGAACATGACGGTATTGTGGAGAACGAACCTCCAATCTCACGATTCGTAGTATGTATAGATTGCAGGAAATTAACAAGTTTGACTAGATAGTCAGGATGAAAAAATATGTTCATAAATATTTATTAAGATGTGCGAACTACTGGAACAAGTTTTCATCCTGACCGTGAAGACGCCAATCACCATATCCCTTGATGGGGAGCTTACTCCGAAAGCGGAGACTGTACTTTACAAAATACGTCGCTAAACAAGATATTACGGTATATTTTGGTATCGTTAAAAGGCGGTGTGTCTAGAACTGTACTCTGTTTGTATACCGGGCACAGTATTTTGCAGTTGCTTTAACTATAAAAAAGTGTCCTTAAGTAAAGTGGGATAGGAGTATTTGTATGGTCTGTTGTATAAACAGTCAAATGCATAATTACATGTCAAAGGGTGATTCAAAAACAATGGCTTGATTCTGCCATTCCACGAAAATCTTTCTGTACTTGTAATAATTGTTACAATAACATTAATTTTATTGATATTTATTGATCTGGTTTATACCAACGTGAAAGAGGTCCTTGCTGCCTCTATCATCAGGGGGATGAGTGACTCATGACTGATCAAACTCGTGAAAAACCTCAGATCCTACCAAGGTCCATAATAGCAATGTGAGATTTCAAAGTGTTCACGTCGGCGAGTCTGAAGATGGCGGTCTTCTGGGATATTCCGCCGTGTAGTCTGGTAGAAGTGCACCGACTTCTCACTCTATCATCAGGGTGCACTGCTCAGCATCCCAGAAGACAAATCATCTTCAAGATCTCTATGTTTCATGCGTAGGATGAAAGGCTGAGACTTAAGCAAGACTATATTCAAAGCTTCTATACAGAAATTTGGGAAAAGTGTAATTAAGATATTCAGAATAATAAAATATAACTACACATGCTCTAAACAGAGTTAATCAGAGGTAAAAATATAATTTGCATAAAACACTAGTAAAAATATATCTTTATTTATATCTTTAAAGTCAATGGCCTGTCCATGGGGGGGGGTTAATTAAAGTAACTAATTTAATTTGAATAAGTCAATTAAAATTTAATCAAATGCCACCTTTTCTATTGGCTATGGAAAATTTGAATACAATTACTGTGGTGGTCGTAATTTCGAGTGTGTAATTATTGTTGTTTTGTACAAGGAGGTTTTGCAGTATGTTAGGAAAAACCCGCTAACTAACTAACTAACCAACTAGATGGCTTACCGAACCCGAAGGTTCATCACCGAATTAACCAAAGCCCTCCACCGGACCCTGTCCTGGGCCAACAAAATCCAGTTTCTTTCAACTCCTATCTCCCATAGATCCCGCCTGAGATTATCCTCCCATCTACGTCTAGGTCTCCCCAGCGGTCTCTTCCCTTCAGGTTTCCCAACCAGTACCCGGTGCACACCTCTTGTCCCATCCATGCTACGTAAATTAATAAATGATCGAGTCTTTCAGAAATTAAGTTTTAAAATTAAAATATATGTCTGTTTTGTAATATGTTTAACGACGCTTTCAGTAGCTTTAGACTGCATGTACAGTATTAATGGAATATGCATACGGACGTACGGATACAGCACAGGACAGTTACAGTTACAAGCATTTTACTGCTGTAAGCTAATGTCGAATTGTATGAATGTGTAAACATTATTTTTAACTCAGTTTACGCCCTAAATCTCGCCCTCAAAGCTGTTAATTCGACTTGTGTTACGAATTTACACGCGCTTTAGTGAAAATGTAACGCTGGATCGTCTCGCAAATTGTTTGTGTCACAACGTACAGAGCGAAACAAATTCTATGTTTATTTAATGTTATTTTGTTTAAACAGTGCAGTCACGCCTGCGTTCTATTGTTTAGAACGGTTTAAAATGTCTTTTTGTGTTATTATTATTATTATTATTATTATTTGCTGACGATTTAGAGATATATCGTAATATTAGAAACGTTGTTGACTGTAAGTTGTTGCTAAATGATAATCACGCTGTTCAAAATTGGTGTCATAAAAATGGTATGAAACTTAATTTAGGTAAAACCACGATTATATCTCTTACTCGTAAAATAAACAGCATATATTTCAATTAAAAATTATATGACAATTTGTTATTGCGTTCTCAGTGTTTTAAAGATCTTGGTGTACTTTAGGGCTGCAAGCTTTATTTTTACCAGCATATTGATTACGTATGTTCACAAGCCCTTAGAATGCTAGGTTTGATTAGGTATATTACGTATTCTTTTCCTACTTTAGATAGCTTATTGGTTTTGTACAAAAGTCTTGTTCGGTCTAAATTGGAGTATGGATCTGTTACTTGGAATTCCATTATTTTCATTGATTCTACCAAACTTGAAAGAATTTAAAGGAAATCTGCAGCTTTATGCCACGCCAGATTTTTTAATAGCCTAAGTGACTATAATTATTAGTTAGGTTAAATTTTCTTTTACTCCACCTGAGGAGGAGCCATCTTGATGCCCTCTTTCTCATTAATATATTTAAAGGCAAAATTTGCTACCCATCCGTTTTGGATTCAGTCTCTTTGCGCGTTCCCTCCAGATCCATTAGAGACTACTTCACGTTCTTTGTTTAAGAGATGATAAAGTTGCGTCATATTGTGATAAATATATATTTGTTTAAATCTTGTCAGTCTAATCACAATAAAATTACTATTAAATATTAAAATATTGGTTTAATTAACATTTAAATATTTAAAATATATTAAATGATGTTCTCTATCGAAATGTTCGATTTACATTAGATCATAACTTTTTTACACGACATGTTTCAGTTCTAAAAGAACCATCTTCAGGTGTGTAAAATTATATAAACTTAAATATAATTTCTTAAATACAACTTTTAGTCAGATGTTTTATTAGATTTCAAATTAACG